GGACGGGGGATGGGGGGAGCCCGGGCACCCAGGGCGGCCGCTCCCTGCGGGGGTGCGGGTGCTGTGCCCTGCCCCGGGCAGCTTTAAGTCGAAGCCGCGCTAAAGCCGGGTTCACTTCGCTCCAGGTGACTGCGGGCCGCTGCCAAACATCAACCACGCGGAGCCCCCGGAGGACGTGAAACATCGGGAACGCTTCCCCGTCGGCTTCAAAGTAACGTACAGGTGCCTTGCGGGTTATAGCAAACTCCCCTTGCTCTCGGATACGATGCAGTGCCTTGCGAACACCGAGTGGTCCAACCTCCAGGAGTTTTGCGGTCGTAAGTATTTCCCTGCCTCTGAAAGGAGTCGCTTAGGGATGCGCTTGTGCAAACGGTCTCTGCCTTAGCAGTCACCGTGTCAAGGCTTTCCTCATCCGAAGTGACACATGATAAAGTTGCTTGTCAGAGAATCTCTTACTGCCCCTTTTTCCTAACTCTGCTTACTCTGTTGGAGTCACGGACTGGCCCTTGTGTGTTAATTAAAATAGATCATTCGTTTGGGGGAGCACAGGGAAGGGGGGCAGAGCCGTAGTGGCGAAGCGCTGGCACAGCTGATGTGGGGGGGAGGTTTGGCATTGGGGATTTGCCTCCCCACCTCAAACGTCTCATCGGTGGAACTGGCAAGGGAGGTAAGCACCGCGCTTGTGAACGATTGTAAGAGGGCAAATTTTAACATTTAAAATCTTTTTCCGTTAAATAGTCATCAAGGGATACTTTGGAATTACACAAATCACGAATCACCTTCTTAAATGTATTTGTGGTATCCATATTCTTAGGGAGGCTTGTGAATTATCACTTGGATTATACATAGTGGAATGCCAAATATTGTGAATTATCACTTGGATTATACATAGTGGAATGCCAAATATTGTGAATTATCACTTGGATTATACATAGTGGAATGCCAAATATTGTGAATTATCACTTGGATTATACGTAGTGGAATGCCAAATATTGTGAATTATCACCTGGATTATACATAGTGGAATGCCAAATATTGTGAATTATCACTTGGATTATACATAGTGGAATGCCAAATATTGTGAATTATCACTTGGATTATACATAGTGGAATGCCAAATATTGTGAATTATCACTTGGATTATACATAGTGGACTGCCAAATATTGCTAATTTTTACTTGGATTATACATAGTGGAATGCCAAATATTGTGAATTATCACTTGGATTATACATAGTGGAATGCCAAATATTGTGAATTATCACCTGGATTATACATAGTGGAATGCCAAATATTGTGAATTGTCACTTGGATTATACATAGTGGAATGCCAAATATTGTGAATTATCACTTGGATTATACATAGTGGAATGCCAAATATTGCTAATTTGCTTTGTAACTGTACGTTTTGGTTGTCTTTGTTGTCACTAGGTAGCTGTTCCAGCCCGCCCCGTGTGCGTTTTGCTAGACTATCAGAAGAAGATGGAATACAGAATTTTTATGCCGTTAATACCGTGGTGACCTATGTTTGTCGCTCGGGCTATGAGAACGCCACAGACCAGCTCCCCACCAGCACTTGCCTTGACAATGTCACATGGTCAGCAGTTCCCGAGCTATGTCGGAGTGAGTGTCTCCGTGTCGTTTCGTTTTCTCCAGCGTCTTCCATCTGCAGCACTGTGTTCCGAGTGCCGTGCCTGATTTGTATTTTGGGATTGCTTTTTTATTTTTAATGATCTTTTAGCATGAAACACCATCAGATGCCTGGTTTGATGTTGCCATCCTGTCATGAAAAGTATCGCCAGGTTTTTTTCCCCGTCCTTGTAGCGTCCCAAGGATAATCTTCTTTTTCAGGGAAATCTTGCGGTGTGCCAGCCAACCCAGAACACGGCAAAGTTATTGCAAACGATCATCTGTTCGGTGCAAGAGCAAATGTAGTTTGTGACCATGGGTGAGTGTGAAGCCAGGTGCCTGCTGCATCCCAGTTGCCTTGCCAGAGTCACTGGTGTGCGCGCTGGGACAAGGGGAGTCTGCAGCACCTCTCTGGGGTGACACGTTCTTGGCTGGTCACAACAAACTCATTGATTTGCTGGTGTGGCTTTACCCCTGCAGGTACGTGTTAAAGGGAGCATCGACTTTCATTTTTTGTTCCCTGGTGGGAGATAAAGTTGCCTGGAGTCAACTTCCAGCTTGTCAGGGTAAGTGAAGTTGTCCAGCGCTTGACTGGAAATACCAGATATTCCAATGCAGAAATACGGAGTCGTGTGTTGATTTTTACGAAGCAGAGGGTTTCTGGAGAGGAGCCAGCTGGCGTGGTGAAGCAGGGCCTAGCCACTAGCATCGCTGGGGCCTTCTGCGTGTGAAAGACAGACAAAAATGAGGAATTCGCTGTCCCGGCAGGCTGCCGCCGCCCCTGGACACGCAGGACAGCGAGCTGGGAGGCACCTAAAAATAATTGCGTGCCGAGCGGGCGGCCAGCGCTCCCGTTTCAGCCCCTGCTCCTGCAGCGGGTGCCTCTGTGCAAGCGGCCCGTGGGTTTTCCTCTCTTCACTCGTGGAGAAGAGCATCCCAGGGGTCACCTCCCAAACCCTTTTCTTTTTCTTCCCCAGCTATTACTTGTCCTCCGCCTCTAGCTATTCCCAGTGGGAAGCACAACAGCAACGGTATGGAGAAGTTCACGTACAGCTCGCTCGTGACGTACTCGTGTGACCCGGGGCTCCAGCTTGTGGGGAATGAAACTCTTCACTGTACAACGGAGAACGGCGTCAATGGCATCTGGAGCGGGCCTCCTCCCAAATGCAGGGGTGAGCGGTGCTGGACAATCAGCCTGTTCTCGAGCAGTTTTTCTTGCTGTGCAGTTAATCAGTCCTAATTAGTCTCTCAGAAAGGGAAAAACCCCAGTCTGGCCAGGCATTCCCGTAGGGTTTACTTCCAGGGGAGCAGCATCTGTGCACAGCAGTGCCGGTTCACAAGTTTTATTAACAGTGTTGGTCAGCAATTTTTATTAACACACAAGCGTCGGCGCGCGGCTCCAACAGACTAAGAGTTAGGAAAAAGGGGCAGTAAGAGATTCTCTGACAAGCAACTTCACTGTGTGTCACTTCGGATGAGGAAACCCTTGAAATGGTGATTGCTAAAGCAGCGACTGTTTGCACAAACACCACGCCGAGCTGTGCTGATGAACAACATGAGCACAGTCGTACACAATTTTACATTTTTCCCTTCAAGAGAAACAGGCAGAATTTTAATACACAGTGTGCGAAGTGTATCAGGATCAGCAAAGCCCATGGAGTAAACCTCAGCATGGATTTACCGCTCGTGTCCAACAACACCCGGGCAATAAAGCCAAGTGGGACAGCAGACTCCCCTCTATCCGTAAGGCTTGTGGTGTCACCACGAGGACCCTGTGTGACTTCCACAGCTCTCGCTGTCGTAGCCACTGATGCACAGGTCAGAGGCCACCTGCCCATGCTACATTTACTCCTCACTGCAGTATTTTACATAGTATGTATAAATGGGGAATTATCTCAGATATAATTTTGAGTGGTTTTCCTCTATTTTTTTCTAGCTGTAGTTAGCACTGCAGCAACGACAAACCAAACCACACCCTTGGAAGAGAAGGCAGAAGGGAGTCTTCTCTGGCTAGGTAAGAGGCTTTCTGCCTCAGGGTCGTTTTAATTGCTGAATTGCACCCGTGCTGGGTGCCGGTGACTCCCTGTGCTGTTGGGTTTCTGCTCTCACTGTGCCGCCTTCATTTCTTTTGGTGGGGCCACCTTCCAGTTTCTTATTCCCTGGTCTAATCCCCTTTTCTCTCTGCTCTCCGCCAAGGGTCTCTCTAGCTGGCATGATACAGAGTAGGATTTTTGATGCTTTAATCCCCCGCCCCGTGCAGCCAAGCACCTCAGTAGAAACCACCGACGTTATCTTGGCTGGTTTTGGATGTTGCTGAGGGTGGAGGTAGCCTGGAGCTACGGACCTCAGCTCCATCCGTGGAGAGAGGTGGGGTGAAGGGCTCGAGCATAACGGTGTGTGTAGTAGTTAATGACAGATGGTTTTACAGCGTTGTGTCTTCTCAGCAGTGTTATGCTTATCGGGGTTTGAATAATATTGTTCTGTGGGCAGAGATAAAGGAACTTTCTTGTTTAGTGATCAGCTGTTGGCTTCATTTTTCTAACATCAGGTTCATTATTTTCTTCTCTAGTTGGTGTCTTCGTCCCTGTTTTCCTTGGTAAGTAGTATAAAATGGAAAATACACTTTCCTAACCCAAAGCTGTTACTTGCTGTTAAATACCTGGAGTCAGCGGCTGTGGTTTATTCGTTTCACCACCCCTCACACTGAGTGTCTCCGGTCAGGAATCAGGGGTTTCTCGGCTGTTGGGTAGCGCAGCAGCGTTGCCAGCAAGCGGGTGGATTGCCTGTGTCAGTACAAAGCATTACATCAGCTGGGCATGAAATGGAAGAAGCCAGAGAAGCCAGCGTAAGGAGCCAACCAACAACTGCACGTCCCATTCACTCGCTGATAAAGTTGCTCTAAAAGGCCTTGGCAGACGTTGAAAATTAAGAGACCAGTGACGCTTGGAACGTCCCTGTTGCAAAAGAGATCCAGTACAAAAAAATGGCGTGTATGTTTAAAATAGAAAAGAAACAGGCGGCTGTCTATGAAAGCACTAACACATGAGGATCCCACCCTGAAGATCAGCCCAGCACCCCATGTCGCAGTGGTTTCTGTGCTCTGTGTTCAGAGGCACGGGGGGG